ATACCCCGTACAGACTATGGCTTATATCATGTAATATAGGCTGTCTTGCAATGAGCACTCATACATCTAGTTTTCACTGGAAATCCTATATATGAGTGCTCATTGCAAGCCAGCCTATATTACATGATATAAGCCATAGTCTGTCCGGGGTATAATACCCCGTTCACATTACAGCCTATATCACGTAATATAGGCTGTCTTGCAATGAGCACTCATACATACGATTTCCAGTGAAAACTAGATGTATAAGTGCTCATTGCAAGACAGCGTATATCACGTGATATACGCTGTAATGTGAACGGGGTATAAATCGTTTTGACGTAGGACTACGTCTGTGATTTCAATATGGGGGTACACTTTGTGAAAACCAAAAATGGAACATGTAACAACATTATGAAATATTGTGAACGTCAATAACTCAACTGCACCTGGACTATAGGGCTGTCTCTTGTAGTTTTTTCGATGTAAATACACTTAAAAAAATTGAACAACTATTTATTTTTAAAGATCGAAAATATCGTAAGAAAATATCGATTTTTTCGATCTTTTCGGGGACTGTAATAGGCCATGTGATATCTTTCTTAGACATCGACTAGTCGCCGTGAGGGTTCACATAATGAATGTTTATTCTTGTATCAGTTTGGTTACATCTTACTTAAACTCTACACATCTTCATAATTCTACACAAATAACAATTAGGTGGGGAGGCGCTTGGAGTTGCCGTTTTAACCAATAAGAGTTCAATTAGAAATTTGTCAACAAGAGAGAAGTCGACGCTAAAACAAATGGGAAAGAGAGTTCGGCGCTGTGACTTGTAACATGATGCGCTTGGCGTCTGTCAGGCTTATTGGTGCATAAGCAAGAATTATCGATTGGCTATAAGTGTCGTGTATGGGAACAAATGTGGTTCGGAGAAGGAAGAGTCAATTTACGGTTCGCTATCTGGGAATGTTTTGAGGTGACGAAAACATGGGTCATCGTTTAGTGCTGCATGGGAAAATGCGTTCGCAATAATTTAATTTGAAGTGGTGTTTTACACTTGTGCAACTAAGCAATCAATTGTAAACCTCCACCGAGCTGATGGTTTGAAGTATGAGAACTTTTGGTTTGGATTGTGGGAATGTCTGGGTTTTGTCAATTGTGTCAATGTAAGGATTTTATGAACTGTGGGAATGTTTGGAACTTTGAAGCATGAGCTAATGAAGGCTTGAGGATAATGTGTGGCATGCATGTTTCATGTCACTGGCGTTCATGATAATTTATGATAATTTGGAAATATTAGAAATGCTACAATTTGGGATGCTACAGGGACAAAGAATCGATCCGAAAAATCGGAAATCGGGATGAAAAAGATCGCCCAATCCTATTATAGACTCGGAAACTACTGAACCGATCGGCGTGAAAATTTGTATGCGGAGGTTTTGGGGCCAGGAAAGGTTCTTATGATGGTTCGAGACCCCTCCCCTCTCTGTAAGGGGAGGCTCCCATACAAATGAAACAAAAAATATAGCATGCTTTTTTGAATCGGCGCATAAACTCAAGCTAATATTGAATCCAGAGCAAGACCGGGCACACTTTGCTAGTAATTGTAATTGTAATTGTTCAGTGTATAGGTTGTGCCAACCGCTAAGTTGGCTTATCTAGGTACTAGCCCCCTACCCGCATAAACGCGAACCATAAATTGACCTTACCTAAAATGGTTAAAAATTGTTTATAATCCCTGCTAAACTTTAACTGAAATGGTTATAGAACTTTACCTGAACGTTTAATGATAAAATTTCAACCTTATGTATTATGGTTTTTTGGAACTGGACCTTACAAATAATGGGTTGTTAAGAACCATTACCATTCCAAATTCTTGTTTTCTCCATACATTTTCAGAAAGAGAACTATATAAGAACGTTTTTACTTATGATTTGAGAACATTAATGGTAATGGTTATGGTAGTCAGTAAGGTCCATTAATGGTTTTGTATTATCGCTCAACTTTACGTGGAATCTATCGTGAATTGGTAATCAGTAAATTACAGGCAACCAATTCGCGATATATTCCACATAAAGTTGATCGATGTTACAAAACCATTCGTGGACCTTACTGACTACCATAACCATTACCATTAAAGTTCTCAAACCATAAGTTAAAAGGTTCTAATATAGTTCTCTTTCCGAAAATGTGTGGAGAAAACAAGAATTTGGAATGGTAATGGTTCTTAACAACCCATTATTTGTAAGGTCCAGTTCCAAAAAACCATAATACATAAGGTTGAAACTTTATCATTAAACGTTCATGTAAAGTTCTATAACCATTTCAGTTAAAGTTTAGCAGGGATTATAAACAATTTTTAACCATTTTAGGTAAGGTCAATTTATGGTTCGCGTTTATGCGGGTAGTCTATACACCTCTTTTGAATACTCCAGTTGATCTCATTTTGGTTGACTAACGGTTAAAGCCTGGTACGCAGCTGAAAAGTAATGACGTTTTTACGTGCTACGGGATAGGACACGGAATGCAAAAGAAATTACTTTTCCTCAGCATTTCTTGACCCAGTACGCAGTTCAAAAGAAATCGGTAAAGGAAAGATCGATTACATTAGTATCGTGATCGACATGAAGGTGGCGCATTCTGAATGCAATTTCACTTTCCTTGCGGAATAATGGTCTGACAAATTATTCCGTTAGGTAATTTTAACGTTTGTTGTAAAAATGATGTTTTGGATGCATTTAAACAACATAAACACTAATAAGTGTTGATTTTACAATTTGACGACATCTCCCTATAATCTCAAAATTTAGCAGCCTATAGCTGTCAAATTTTCTTTTGGGAAAAATCCTCAAAAATTACTTTTCCGTTTTCTTTTCAGCTGCGTACCAGGCTTAACACAGCAAAAATGAGAGCAGAATTTTACACTGTTGAATCAAACGGAAAACTAATCCTGCTTTCAATAAAACCAATTTGATTTCTGATTTTGCATTCATAATGTTTAACTGAATACGGGCCTGATGTAAATGGTTAGCATCCATGCTTCTCATGCTGAAAGATTTGAGCTTAAACCTCACCCCGAGCAAGTTTCAAATGACCTAAAATGTGTTAAACAAAACAAATAAACAATAATCGTTAGTTCAACGACAGATGAACTTAAATTAACTTTTAAACAAGACGTTAACAGCAGAACTTCAAGGTAAGTTGCTTTCATTTTAAAAGGCTTGATTGCATAATGAAAGCACAATATGATATCAGACTTATGTCTCGACAATTGAAATCAAAATAAGTTTTCATTATGATAGGAACTGCAAACTTTATTATCGATTTGCTTTCATTTTGTTAACCGACTTTGCTCGGGTAGACACACATGGGTGGTCGTATCCGGGCTCCCCTGGGTAGGCTCGTGTCCGTCCAAGTTCTGGTACATTAACTTATATCTATGCATGGTAATTATACTTTACAACTCATCTTTTGATTATAAATGTCGATAATGCTGAAACTATATGAATGTTAGTGATCATTATTAGGTGTGTGCTGCAATGGAGTAGTAATTGAAGGAAATGAGGTTCTCATGTGGCTTATAGGTAATTCTATAATAGGTAAATCATGCAAGCACACACCTTTTACAATTCTTATCCTACTTACCAGTTCCGTTCAGTATAAATTGGCTGTCTCCAACCGGCGTGATCCTTTCTGACTGCTTACTCTCTTCTTTTCTTGTTCACGCTTTCTCGCGTTTTTTTCCTTTCTATTGAGCATCCGGCCGTGTTCCCATTTGTTCTCAGGCAGGTGATATTGATACATGAGAGGAAGAAATAAATAGAACAAGTTAAGTGTGAGCCGCATGCGTTGGTTATTTGTTTGGGTCATGGTGTTGTGTTTCCTATTTGTCTCTATTTCGCTCTCAGATCGCATCACTTTCCCCCTCCCCCAAACTATTATGAGTGAAAAAGAGAACCCGTATCTGGTAACCTCTCGCGAGCGCAATTCAAAAGATATTAATAACAAACTTATCTAGAACTGGGCACAAACATATCACATTTTCTAAGACTGATCATGATTAATATAGTATGAATAATGAAAATTGTATGAAGCAAAGACGATCCCAAAAGAAAGTTTCCTAGCAATAAAACTATTACTCTGTGCTAATCTGAGTTATTTCAAAATGAGAATCCATACTCAGAAACTACCCGATCTCAACAAACTGTACCGAAATCAGAACAGCTAAACTACTCGGTCAGATTTTGGCATTTCTATTTACTTGTATAAAGCTACTTTATATCGAGCTCTTTTCGATAATAGCAACATGTGAATAATGCAGAACAAATTTGAAATTGTTCTAGAGCCAAATTGGTTTTTAAGGAAGGTCAAACTACAACCGAACATCTCAGCCGCTCTGAACCCTTCAAGTATGAACATTATGCTTTCCCAATATGGTACATTCTCTCACTATAAACCTGTCATTTCTAGCCTATCTGAACTATTTAATAAATGGAAACCATAACATGGGTTACGCTCCCCCTAAGCGGGCCCTCCGCATCCTATCTCTGTCTTATCTGAAATACCAAATGCCAATGGTTTGAATGTATCAATATATAAATTGGAAATGATGTTCAATCAAATAAACCCATACCCCACTCACTTGGCCAGGCTTCAGAATCGTCCAGTGGGCAGTGCGCTCTACACTCCAAGTTCCCTTTTTTCAAATTCGCCCCAAATTTGATATTTTACCCCTTTGAGTGTTGATGAATCACAATCAAACATTGTGAAAGAGCACAGACTTGAGGATAATAGAGTATTAAATAATCTAGGTCCTATTTAGGATTATATCTGAAAAATCCAAATCTGACCAACGCCCACCAAGGCCGGGCACAGTTAGCTAGTCGAATATAAAAAAAAGAATTCAACCTTAGGGTGGCAGTCTTGCCTCGTCCACCCCTACTTCAGAACGACGAGAAACTAATAGACGACGCATCCATCAATAATATTCACATTACATTTTATTAGGATTTTAACGACTACTTCTTGTACGCATTCAACACGATGTCCCGGTAGCTAAAGTTCGTGCACACATCGATCTGACTTGCTGCTCCGGCGATGGCCATAAACCTGTTCGGCTCGGTTTGCTGCACCACGCTGTACACGGCCGGTGCCGAAAGCGGAATCTCCGCCGTCACGTCCCCATTGAAACTGTACTGGTACAGATTCTTGCAGTCCCCTCCAGCGTAAATTATGTCATCGATGAACCCGGACACGTGAATCCTATCCGGAAAGCCGAAATCCGTTGTGCACTCAAGCGATCGTAAATGCCACAGCGAGAAGCGCGGACCACCACCGCACACCAGCCAGTCCTCGGTAATCGAAACCGTTCCTTGCCATTTGCCAAACTCAGACCGGTTCAGCGCCTGACTCGTGTGCGGTTCGATCTTACTGGTGAACTTAGCCTGACGCGCGTCCCACAGCAGGATGCTGCCGTCTTCGGAAGCGGTGGCAATTTTTCCGGCACATCCCGAAACGCAGTGGATGTAATCCACGTGACCCTGGTACTGACGGATCACTCTTCCGTCTTCCAGCGAAACGGCGTACATGACATTGTCCCCACAACCGGCGTACAAGATTTCCTCATCCTTGTCCATCCATAGATAGTTGATTTCGTTGATGTCGGTGTACTCAGTCGAAGCGGGGAGCTTTACGGTCCACGTTTTTTTCCCGATGGTTCCATTTTTGCCGTTCCACTGGTATCCGCAGATTTCTCCGTTGAGTCCGACGATCAGGAAGTCCTTGTGGAAGGCAAGGCTGTACACTTGGCACTTTTCCGGAAGGGAGAACACCAGCTGCGGATCGGTCGGAAGCCTGTCCGGATCATTGGTGATCGTTTCTGAGCAGGATGCGATGCGTTCAATACTGATACGGAAGAATCATTCTGTCAAGGGTTCTAATTTTGAAACGAGAGCGGAGTAAAATTGACTTACCTGTAAACAAGAATTTCTCCGAAATTACTTCCACAAAATAGGTACTTTCCGTCGGTTGAAATGGTTTGGGAGAGGATGGTCGTGTAGAAACACTTTTTAATGTCGACCATTGTGAAATATTCGATAAATTCAGGAAAAATTTATTTCAAATCTTCAGCACCGATGCAAACAAAACGAGAAACATGAAGTCAAGCCAAGCCGGTTTGCAAGCCAAAACACAAACACCAAATAAACCCTTCCGGAATGTACTGTCTTCGGGTTTGTATGCCAGTTTCTGATTATTTCTGTTCGCGAACGTTCGTGTCTGATGGCTGGTGGGTTTGTCGTCAACGAAGTTTGACGTTTGTCGAAGAAGCATCATTGGATCTGCTGCGGGCCGAGCGACGAGCGAAAGCGATCCACGCAGTAAACAATCAGAAGCAAGTTAAAAAAAAATCAAGTTTATTCCTTAAAAAAACCAGCGCAAAATGTCGTTCGACTCGATTCCTAAAGATCTGCGTGGACTGCGAGCTTGTCTGGTGTGTTCACTTGTAAAGGTAAGTCGAAAAAAGTAATGGATTAGTTTGCGTGGATCAACACTCTTCTCCGTCCATCCGTTTCACAGACCTTCGATCAATTCGAGTTCGATGGATGCGAAAACTGCGAGGAGTTCCTCCGGATGAAAAACAACAAGGACCAGGTGTACGATTGCACCAGTAACAACTTTGATGGGTAATTGAATCATTATTTGACTCCTTTGCCCAAGGTATATTAATAACGTTCCTTATTCTGTTTAGAGTAATCTCCGTGATGAGCCCGGAAGATAGCTGGGTCTGCAAGTGGCAGAGAATCAGTAAGTAGCTATAAATCTTATTTGACTCTCCCAGACGGTTACTATTTAAGAACTTTTCTGTGCTTATTGTTCCGCTAGATCGCTTCACCAAGGGAATTTACGCCATTTCGGTATCGGGACGTTTGCCAAATGGAATCATTCGAGATATGAAGAACCGAGGCATTCCATACAGGCCAAGGGACACTAGCCAGCGGTAACCAAATCATTCTTCGGGTTTTTAATCATCTCTTATTTAATATACTGAAAAACTTGCTAAGATACTCGTCCATCGGCTAGACAGAAAGTCTTTAATAAAGAGTAATAATTCTAAAATAACAAGCTCCATCAATTAAGTCTATTGTTATAAACGAGTTTATTCCTCAATGTTAGATTAATATTAATCAGAGTTTGCTCAAGCGAACCAGATAGCAAGCACAAAACCGGTCGCGGTCTGCCTTCTGCGTTCCGCGCCCAATATCAAGCAATTCAAAATTATCCTGCTTCTCATTCCTCCCGGCGTCCTCCCATCTTCCAACGACGCTTCCGACCAGCACTGGACCACCTTCAAATGCCGTAATCATCATCATCATCCGAATCCAGCGCGGCCCGTCGTCGGTCAAACTTAACCGTCGATCCACTCCGGGGCATCTGCTGATTCAGGCTCTCCAGCAGCTTCACCAGCGAGGCATCGTCCAGTTTGCCGCCGATTTGACCCATCTGTGCCATCCGGATGATCATTCCCTCGACCATCTGAGCCTTGTCCGGTTTGCTCAGCTTCAGTGTGTTCAGTCTAGCACGGGCATTCTGATCCAGCAACTGCGACAGCATCGAGTTCTTCATTTCCTCCTGTGCGGCCATCTGTTCCTCTTTCGCCTTATGTTGCTCCGGATCGCCACCCTACAACCGATATCGAACCACATTTCCGTTAAACGTACATTCACAACAATGTTTATGTTGCCATCAGATAATATTTAAAGCGTGATCTTGGCTATTTATGGAACATTCGAAAAATTAAACGCAGTTTGGGCCATCTATCCAGGTTATTAATTTACATAAATTAAAATCCGCCAAACCGTATTTACCTGCATTTGCTGGAGGCGTTGCTGGCGGAGCGCTTGTAGCTCTGGATCGGCCATATTTCCGACTAGTTCGTTCAACGTTTATGCTATTAACTGAAACTTAACTTTTTCACTATTCGTGATTAGTTTCATTAGCGCTATTCGATTTTTGAGCTTGAGGTAGCCGAAAATCGGTGATTCACAGTTTGACAAGCCCACTGTCACCAGAACGGAAGATTTCTGCCCAGGTGGGTTGCGTTGCTGCGTTTGGAACTTCTAAAGGTTTATTTTTTTCCAATTCGTGCCCTTCGGAAACATCCGCTCATGTGTCGATTATTAAGCCAGAAATACTGTTAAGCACTGGTCAAACTTAGCTGTAATTTTAACAAGGACTTTCCGCCACTTCCGGGATCATCTAAAATACCAGATATCCCCTTTTTTCAGACAGAAGAACAGCTGAAAATCAGCAATATATTCAACGTCTCTTAATCAAATAGGAACATTATTAATATAGTGCTTCCATTTGTGAAAACTCTTTTGAAGCAACTACACAGCAAAAAAAATGTAATATCGATCAACGTATTTCAAGCTGATGTATGAAATAATGATGTAATAGCAAAAAGCAGATACAATATTACATCAATGGATGTAATTTTGTTCGCAAAATCGATGTACATCGTACAATGTGATATTACACAACCGATGGATTGACCTGGTTGCAGCAGTTTGGATGTAATATTCAACTACTTTTTCTATGTAGCTTCTAGGTGGTCCTTCCTTGCGTTGATCATATCCTTTGATGGATAATTTTCCGAATGATCGGGGATATGATCTCTGTTCTTCAGTGGAACTGTAGAAGTCTTAAGGCCGACGCACAATAGATACGTTTTCAGGTTTTTTGACAGTTAACCCATGCATCATTTGTCAAAAAAAAAAACCTGAAAACGTATGCATTGTGCGCCGGCCTTTATACCGAAACTTGACACATTCAAATTTTTACTTCACAACTCACTTTGTGATGCATTTGCGCTTTGTGAAACATGGCTTTCTTCAGACACCGATCTCCCTTTCCACGATTTTAACATTATTCGCCTTGATCGAGCCGATTCGTATGGAGGGTTGTGTTGCGATAGTTTGGAAACAAAACACTGAAATTCTGCTAGCTGTTACTTACAGCTTCAAAGCTGCAATTTTATTTAGGTTTTAATTATATCGATACATAGGTATCCAATGTACTTACATTTCAGTATTAGAATAACAAATTTAGATTCCAATTATCTTATTTTCAACTTTAGATTTAGGTAGTGGTGAATCTAGGTTAGGAAACTAATTAGATCAAATTCTGAATGTAATAATACAAATGACTTACGGATTTATAATATTTAGATTTTACTAATCCAGACCACTATTCTAGTACTAAATAAAAGCAATTAGGTTTATATCAATATTAAATAATTCCACAAGCAGATGAATTTCACTTTGTGTTAACGTGGTTCTTAGAAAAACACTTCTGATTACTGTTTTCGATGTCAACGGTTGTTATTCCTGATACTATATGTCACTCGACCAAGTCGAGGGAGCGCCCGGTCGCACAATCGCCCGGTGACGACCCAGTGGTTGTCGCAACATTCCCCGACCCGTGTGGTCCGGGACTACCGAAGACGTCCAAGACAGCAATCTTCGCTGATGGTCGCAAGATGATCCCTTTCGCTGTTAGAATCCTAGCCTTCCTGACTTGTCCATCTTGAGCAACGCAAACCTCCGTGATCCTCCCTCTAATCCAGTGATTCCTCGCCGTATCATCAACCACGATCACAATGTCGCCTACCTGGAGTGGCTTCACCGGCTCGAACCATTTGGACCGTCTCGCCACCACCGGTAAGTACTCACGAGTCCATCGGCGCCAGAATTCGTCGATCATCCATTGAGCTAGCTTCCAACTATCTCTGAGCGCGCTACGATGGTCTATTGGCTGCACTGCTGGTTGATTTACTCCCTGTGTCCCATACAACAGGAAGTGATTCGGCGTAAGTGCTTCTTGATCCGCCGAATCGAGAGCGATGTAGGTTAGAGGACGTGAGTTGACGACTGATTCGGCTTCTAGAACAATGGTTTCGAAAGTCTCCTCGTTCGGTTGTCGCAGTCCGTTCCCAATGGCAAACATGGCTGTTTTTACGGATCGTACCATCCGTTCCCATAGGCCACCCATGTGTGGTGCTGCAGGTGGATTGAAAATCCATTTTGTGCGCGCGTTGGTGAATGTCGACGCGCAGTTTTCATTGATCTTCTTCATTTCCATCTTTAGTTGTCGATTCGCTCCAACGAAACAGGTACCGTTATCGCTGTATACTTCTAGAGGCGCCCCACGTCGTGCCACGAACCGCCGAAATGCCATTATGCACGATTGCGCCGATAGAGTGTGGACCACTTCCATATGCACCGCCCTGATGGTCAAGCAGGTGAATAAAGCCACCCAGCGCTTGACTTGGCTTCTTCCCACTTTGACCAACATCGGCCCGAAATAGTCAATACCAACGTACGAAAACGGCTTCACGAACGGAGTCAGCCGAGCTCTTGGTAACGGTGCCATCCGAGGGATCCGAGGAATCGCTTTGGAGTTCTTGCACCGCTGACATTCGGCAGCTACTTTTCTCACCAGCCGTCGCAAAGCAGGAATGTAGAACCTTTGCCTCATGTCATTGAAGACCGTCTCGTTGTTGGCGTGAAGCAGACGTTGATGGTAGCTGTCAGTAAGAAGGAAGGTTATCGGATGCTTTTTCGGCAAGATAATGGGGTACTTAGCTTCGTATGGGGCGAATGGAGCAGCCCCAATACGACTGCCCATTCTAATGACTCCCAATTGATCCATGAACGGCGACAGTTTATAAAGTGGACTCGATTTTTCCACCATCGGTTCGTTCTCTCTATCTCCTTTTGTCTTCAGTAGCAGATATTCCAGTGAAAACGCTTCCTCCTGCGCTTGCCGCCACAATAAGTTTTCCGCTTCAGCAAACTCTTCCGAAGACAGCTCTCTTCGGATTTTATAGTTCCCAGCTCGTTCCTTAAACAGTCTGGCAGCTTTACATACGTACGCAACTGTCCTGTGCAAGCGAAGCCAAATGGAGAAGCGGCTCACATCGACAACAGGGTCATGCACTACTTCCTGATGGTGAAACAACTGTCGCACTTGTTCTTCCGCAGTGTCTTGAGGCTTTCGGTGAACCGGCCATTCAGTTTCTGGTAAGCGAAGGAACTTGGGTCCGTTGAACCAGAGACTTTCCTTGCTGAAATCTGGACCAGCTTTCCATTTCGTGGCGTCGTCTGCTACATTCTGCCCTGATGGCACATACCTCCACTCGTCAACTTTGGAGGTGGAGAGAATTTCTCCAATACGAAATGCCACGTATTGATGATAACGGACGGCATCCGAATTTAACCAGGAAAGCACTGTCGACGAATCCGACCAGAATACCCTCCGGGTAGTTGGAAGCGTTAGATGCTGGCAAACATTTTCCATCAAGCGGGCTCCAATCAACGCCGCCTGCAATTCCAGTCTAGGTATAGATACGGGTTTCAAAGGGGCAACTTTGCTTTTGGCGATGATGAGGGAACACTCAACTCCACATTCACCTACTGTTCGCAGATAGATGGCACCTGCATAAGCCTGTCGACTCGCATCCACAAATGCATGTAACTCCGATACCCTTGATTGATCCGAACGAGTACAACCCAGAAGACATCGTGGAATCTGGATTTCACCCAGATGTGTAAGGTACTCCTGCCATGCTCTCCAAGTGTGTTGCAAATGCTCAGGGATCAGTTCATCCCAGTTTGTCCCAGCTCGCCAAATATGTTGCATCAAAACTTTACCGTGTATTATGAAGTGAGCTATCAACCCTAACGGATCAAAAATACTCATTATGATTCGAAGTACTTGCCTTTTTGTCGGAATTGACAGACGGCTATCCAGAGACGACAGCTCAGAGTTTGATGGAGTCGTGAACGTGAATATATCACTACCGGGAATCCAGAACATTCCTAGAACTCGTTCCGACTCCGAATCCAGATTCAGATTCTTGTTAGAAACCTCCTGCAGTACTCCAAGATTATGTAAAACTTCCCTGGAATTCGATACAAACTGACAGATCTCAAATCCACCGCTGGCGTGGATATACTTCACCTGCTTCATCAGCTCAATCGCCTCGTCCACTGTGTCCACGCTGTCAAGGTAGTCATCGACATAGTGGTTGTTGGTGATTGCCTTCGCTGCTCGTGGAAACTCCTCAGAGAACTCCTCCGCATTTCTGTTCTTTACGAACTGCGCTATACACGGAGAGCAGGATGCCCCGAAAATGGCTACATCCATGACGTACACTTGCGGTGGATCCTCCGGGTTATCTCTCCACAAAAAACGCAAGAACTGTCTATCTGCTGCACGAATAATGATCTGGTGAAACATTTCTCGCAGATCTCCACCAATCGCTATATTTCTCTCGCGGAACCTTATCAGCACGGCGATGAGCGAAACCAGCAAATCTGGGCCTTTCAACAAAAGATCGTTGAAGCACAAACCCTCCACGGTTGCAGCTGCATCCCAAATCAAACGAACCTTGTTCGGTTTTTTGGGATTTTGGACCACCCCAAGTGGCAGATACCAGGTATGTCGCTGGTGCACGGAATCCAACTCAGTCTTCGATGCGCGATGTGCGTAGCCTTTGGATATGTAACTTTGAACCAATTCCTTAACCTTGACGTAGAGGTCTGGGTTCCGCAGCAAACGCTTTTCTAAGCATTTTAAACGACGGAGTGCAAGTGGATAAGTATCGGGAAGGTTATGTTCATCCTCCTTCCACAGAAGGCCGACTTCGAAACCAGTTGGAACGCGAATAGTTGTATTCTCGAGAATTTGATTAGCTCTCTTGTTATCCTCGGATTCCGGTTTCAATGTGATACACGACTCTTCGATGTTGAAAAATTGCTTCATCAGGTCATACAGCATTGCGTTGTCAGGAACTTGTTTCTCCTGGACCGTGTGGAAATGCAGCTGTTCCCTACCTTCAGGTTCCGAATGCCGGCCGTAGATGCTCCAACCAAGCCTGGTTTTAGCGGCTATGAGACTTCCATTACCTCCTT